ATATATATATATATATATAGAGAGAGAGAGAGAGAGAGAGAGAGAGAGAGAGAACAGCCTGGCACAGAACTGTTCAGCTATGCTATGATTGTAGCTTTGGATGAGGCAAACAGCTCAAGAACTACCAGTCATTTCCCGAAAATACAAGACGCAAGAGTCCAGTATGGAGATAACCGGTACTACTTTACTACACACTATTTCATTATGAAACGCAGGAGAAAAAGCTCCCTCGTCATGAAGACCCAGCGTTCACTCATCGAACTTGGCAACCCAAGTCCTGTAACCGGTAACGGCAAACTTCATAAGGCCACAAGAAGTCAGATGTGAGCCTTATGGCAACAAAGCAGTCTCTCACCAATATTGGGTTATGGTGTCAGGGACCAAACTTCGGATCTTAGGGACTGGAGTGATCGAAATCAATTTTTTTCATTTGGAAAAAATTGGAAATTTGGAAATTTGTAGCACAATACGCTACAGCCTTAAAACGATAACCAATGACAGGAACGATAATGCTCGCCTATCTCGAACACTTTCTGGATCGAAGGCAATGACTAAAACAAATCAGTATACGTGAATATTTTCAGGTATTTACTTTTGTGTTTAGGCTTCAGTGTATAAAATCAACGAAGCGAAAATTTCTTTTCACCTCTTTTTATAATAAGTGGAAGCTTCAGGTTCCGTTTCACTATGATAGGTTGTATCAAACAGCATGCCTGTCTCAGAACGCGCCAGTCCAAAAGCTAGAACCAACCCCACCCAATGACATTAATCAGCACTGGTCGCTTATCAAGAATGCTCTGCATTCCGCCGGTTTAGTTAGTTATGGTCCAACACGTTGCGCCGTGACACCCTGGATTTCTGAGGAGTCCCTGCGCCTTCTTGACGCACGCCGATCGGCAGCAAGAATAATAAAACACGACTCGTAACAGGATGTGACCACAGAGCAAGCTTACGCAGAGATCGCGAAATCTGGTGGACTCAACGCGCATCAGAGACGGAACGTGCTGCCGTCACGGGGAACTCGCGTAAGCTGTTCCATCTCATCCGGGTTACCGGTAGAAAAGCCTTGGGTGTGAGTGAAACGATCTGAAAAGCTGACAGCTCACCCATTCACAACCAACAGCGACGTCTTCGAATTGAGGCACAGTTTAGCTGGTCAACGCTAGCATAGCTCCGCCGGCAGATGCTCCATGGTATGCGTCACAAAGCACCGGGCCCCGACGTTCTTCCCACACTCTATTCAAAGATGGTGGAATAAAGCCGGTTTTTTTTATTATACACCTTAGTATGATGAACAGCAGACGAGGAAAGCCTCATAGTCATGAGGACCTGCTGTTCAGTGGTGCAAACCGTCAACCTAAGCCCCGGGGCTTGGAGTAGCGAACCACATAAGGTCCCGCTAGGTTGAACGTGGTATTGAACCGGACGAGAGTAAGGCTGCCTACCACACAAATTGGATGGCGGTGGCGGGGCTCGAACCTCGGACTATAAGGTCTAAAGCACACCGGTAACATCAAATAAACCACTTCGTCACCACTCTGTTCTTCAAAGTAAGGCAGGTCCCCTGCTCGTGGGGGAAACCGATTGTCGTCCTCATTTTATAAGAGGGTCAGCCCAGTAACTGCACCATTCATAGGGGTCTAAGTCTGATCCGAATAGCGTTAAAGCTGTTGGCGTATGCCATTCTCTATTGATTGCGAAATATGCGTAAAGAGCAGACCCGCGAGGGGCATGCTGGATTTCGCGCCGGTCGTGGATGCATCGATCAAATCATTACCCTCCGACAGTTGCTACGGCCCATTAAACACCAACGATCATTGTGTTCTTAGACATTCACACGGCCTTCAACTCCGTCGATAGGATCGCACTATAGAAATGTGTGTTGAAGAGTGGAGCTCCTGAGAAGTATGTATCGATCCTCAAGAAGTTGTATTGTCATACCTCAAATCGGGTTAAGGTCTATGACCAGCTTTCTCCACCATTTGCCGCCTCCAGTGCAGTTCGCGAAGGCTGATCAATATCTCCATTCCTTTTCAACTTTACGATAGAGGATGTTCTACAGAATGCTTTGTCAGGTCTATCAAACGGTGGAACAGAACTCCTCCCTGGGAGTCCTTGACTTAGAATATGTCGATGACATCACCATGTTAGGTAAAAATACACAGTTAGTAAAACGCGCCTTGAACCGCTTGGCAATAGAGGTATCCAGGTATGGTATGTGCTTTGCACCTTCCAAGGGCAAAGTGCTTGTTCAAGACTGGTAGGAGTCCGTGTTTGCACTCACCCCCTGTGGTGATCAGAGGGAAGTAGGTGAGAGCTTTAAGTACCTCGCGAACTTAATCACAGCTGGAGGTGGTGTTGGGGAAAAGATCACACCACGAATGGCGAAAGTCAGAACAGCTTTTGCCAACCTGTGACACTTGATACCATCATGACATCCAACCATCCCTTAAGAGAGGGGTGGACATAGCCGCGATTCGTACTAGGTGTTGACCAGTGAGAACGGTAATCATGAATGAATTCGTGCCGGCGGTAACTCATGTTGATGTGGTCGATTTGGGTCCATCGTTGTGAAGATGATGGTGGTTTCCAAGTAAGGCAGAGCCATTTCTTGTGCGAGAAGTTTGAGTTTGACGGAAACACTCCGCTGTCTGCGCAGAGTTGAAGTGGACAGTCTCCGTTGTCCGTCCCACTGGATGGGAGTGCACTTGGCATGCCAAGAAACCTCTCTGATTCTTCCAGGTATCCGACTGGAGCAGTGAAGTCTTCGACGACTACTACGATGTCCGTTGATCGAACACTTTGGAGTAACAGATAAAGATAACTGTAGAATTCATCCTGCATTTCAGGTGCGCTGCAATCGATCGGTGCATACACCGACACAACAAATAAGCATCAACACTTCGTTCTGTAGCTGTTGACCCGTACTCAACCGTTGAGACGTACAGCAAACAGTCGGCTATTGGCTGGGATCCAATGATAATGAAGCCACTGCTCAGCATTGGAACTTAGCGCAATCCCAACACCAGCAACACATGGAACTTCGGATACTGAATCGCCTGACACATGCGGAGTGAAGAGTGCTGGTGAGGTCAGATTTGGTGAGAGCAAGGTGCTAATTGAAGTAGGGTCTTGTGCGCGCGATTTGGAGACACAACATACATCTATATCG